GCACTCTTGGGTATAAGGAGAGATGATGAATCTAGGTTGCAGCTGGGTTTCCTAATTTGCCATTTATCAGTGCTAGGCAGGAAGGCCCCTTCACTGCCTCCCCCACGGGGCAGCACATGTAACGGCAGTGCAACATCTCCCTGAAACCAGGCTTCTCCCTTCCAGGAAAGCTAACAGCCTTAGGCTGGCAGGGAAAAGGGGCATTTTGATGATGCACCTATAACTGATCCCAGAAGTAAAACAGGACCCTGAGTAGGAAGAATGGTTACTAAGCCCATGAGTACACTTTGCTCTGGAGAAAACTAATTAGCCCTGAATTAACAAAGTAACATGAATGTAATTAACACTGATGTAACAAGTGCTCATCCCTGATGTCCCTATGCACCCTTCCATCAACGACAGTAACACCCATCTAATGACCAGCTGTAAGGTAGGTCTGGGCATGTGAAATCAACTAATGGGGACATCACAAGGCCACAGGACAGTAAGGACTCTGTGACCACAGTAACTCTCAGTTCTAAACAAATTGGGGTTGTCCTGCAGGCAGGCAGCACCTTGAGCAAACCAGACTCCAGTGTCTCCATTTCCCCCTTATTGAAAACTTGCTCTTTTGTGGGTGCTGAGTGCCCTTTCTCCACCCCAGAAGTCAGATCTTCCTGAAGATGCTTGGCCATTCTTCCCAGGAGACTCTATTTTCCTGATACTGCTGGAATTTCACTTGTACCTCACTGAGCAGGACTTTGTTCTTTTTGCCTAGCTAATGATGGGTATATATTCTCTGTCTCCAGGTGATCCTTTCACTCTAACAGGAACTAGAAATAAAATATTGACTTGAAGGAAGTAAAATCTCCTTGTCAAATCCAGTTAAATCTATCTTTAAAAATTATTAACATTAGCTGGGCGCAGTGGCACATGCCTGTAATCCCAGCAGTTTGGGAGGCTGAGGCAGGAGAATCCTGAGTTCAAAGCCAGCCACAGCAACTTAGCAAGGTCCTAAGCAACTTAGCAAGACCCTGTCTCAAAATAAAATATAATGGGATCCTAATTGAAATAAATTATACTCCATATATGTATAATGTAAAATGCACCCTACTGTCATATATAGCTAGCAAGAACAAATAAAATATAAAAAGGTTTGGAGATATGGCTCAGTAGTGAACTCCCCCTGGGTTCAATACGTAGTACCCCCCCCAAAGAAAAGTTATTAACATTGATAGGACAAGGGATTACTGTGAATAATTCTGCACATGTAATAACTTTTTTCTTTTTATGTTATAATTTGTTTTATTTATTCCATAGTTTTACAGGTGCATTCTATTTGTACATAGGATTTGTTGTTACATATTTATACATACACACAATAAAATTTGGCCAGTTCCACTCCCCAGCACTTCCCCTTCCTCCTTACCTACCACCCTCTCTCCCTTTCTGAGATTCACCACCACCCTTCTTTTCTTTTTTCCTCTCTAGCTTCCACATGAAAGAGAACACAGGGCCTTTGATCTTCTGAGTTTGGTTTATTTTGCTTAACCTAATGGTCTCAAGTCCCTCCCATTTTCCTGAAAATGCCATATTCATTTTCCCCCCAAAGCAGGGCTGCGTATTCCACACAAAGGCAGGCAGTGAGGGGGTGATGGAGAACAAGGGAGGCAGGCAGGGTGGAATGTGAGCAGACTGGGGCAAGAGCCAGGCAAATGCCTAAGGCACCTTGCCTGAAATCCCATAGAGGCCAAGGTCATGAAAAGGTGGGGAAAGGGGGACACAAAACTGAAGCTGGGGTCTGTGGGCAGTACACGCAGAAACTGACACCCTAGCCTCTTCCAAGCTGAAGGTAGGGGGTGGAGCAGGGCCCGAGGCCAGCAGGGCTGGGAGAAGCAGTGTGAAACCCAAAGCCTGGGACTAGTGGGTGCTAGAAGTTAGCCACACAAAGTTCTGCGGCTCCAGCAGGTTTTTCTCAAGGGCAGGCAGGAGGGAGATTGGAGGCCCAAAGCCAGTGGCTCCCATCTTGGTAACTTCCCCACTAAGGAAACCGTCAGGCCATGGGCGGACGCAGGACTGCAGTGTGAGTTCATTGGTTTCAGTCTAGGAAGGGAGGCCCGGGACCTGAGAACTACCAAGTTATCACAGCAAGCTCTTAAGAGGTACCATGTCCCCGACTTGAAATACCCCATATTCTCACTCTCACTCACCTCTGGGACCTACTGGAGGAGGGCAGGTCTCCGGAATTCCAGGAGGGGACCCACCTTCAGGGACGGGCATGATGCTGAGGATCTTGAGGTGAAGGCTAGGAACAGGTGTCCCAGGGACGTCCATGCCCAGACTGCAGGGTAGGGGGGCAGGGCGGAGTGAAGGTAATCTCATACCTGTGCAGGATCTTCAGGAAGCCAACCTTGACCAGAAAGCTGCTGTCCCCCTTCTGGGTGACCCTGGTCACTGAGTCAAGTGGCTTCTCATGAAAGTGGACATGGCTCTGGGAGCCTTTGGCATCATGGCCTGCTGCAAGGTGGATACTCCAGACTCTGGGCTGACTGCCCTTGTTGGCTGCAGCTATCAAGGTGAAACACACAGCTCCAGCTCAGCAGCGTCCCACGCTCCAGGGACACAAGCAGGAACCTTGCAGGCTCACCTCTGGGATGGGCCAGGCAGGACGACCGGGTGGTGGCTGCAGCTGGGGATCAATGCTGAGCACGGGGAAGAGAGGCCAGTGCCCACCCTCCTGGCTTACAGCACACCCCCACCTCCACCTCTCATTTTTCTTGAAGGCTGAATAAATCTCCATTGTGAACATATATCACGTTTTCTTTATTCATTCATTGATGGACCTAGGCTGGTTACTGTGAGTTGTGCTGCTATAACCATGGGTATTCAAGTGTCACTGTATAGTAATTCTTCAGGATAAAAACCAAGGGAAGTTATAGAGGAGTCATGGTGGTTCCATGCCTAGTGTTTTGAGAAACCTCCGTATTGATTTCCATAGTGGTTGTAGTAATTTACAATCTCACCAACAATGTAAAAGTGTTCCTTTTCCCCACATCCTTTCCATCAGTTATGATTATTTGTATTCTTGTTGATTGCCATTCCGACTGGTGTGAGATGAAATCTCAGTGTAGTTTTGATTTTCATTTTACAAATTGCTAGAGATGTTGAACATTTTTTTTCATATATTTGGTGGTCATTTTAATCTCTTTTGAGAAGTTTTTAGTTAATTTGCCCACTTACTGGGTTGATTTTGGGGGTTAATTTTTATTACTAGTGATTATAACCTTGGGGCATTTTATCAGGGAGCTACATCCCCAGGCCTTTTTAACCTTGGAAACAAGGTCTCATTTGTGAAGTCTTCCTAAATTGCTGAGGCTGACCTAGAACTTGCCCTCCCCCTGTTTTAACCGCCCAAGTCATTGGATTACAGGCGTGAGCCACCTTGCCCAGCTGGTGTTAAGTATTTCGAGTTCTTTAAATATTCTGGATATTAATCCTCTGTCCCAAAAGCAAAGATTTTCTCCCATTCTGTGGGCTCTCGCATCACATTCCTACTTGGTTCCTTTGCTAGCACACATAAATTGGACAACTTAGACGACATGGACCAGTTCTTTAAAAAGCACCAACTACCAAATCTCACCCAATAGGAAACAGAGAATTTGAATAGTCCGTAATTATTTTTAAAAATTGAAAAAAGAAATCCTCAGACTCTGATTTCACAGAATTTGTCAAAATGCTCCAAGCCGAATTAATTTCAATTTTCCACAGTCTTTTCCAGAAAACAGAACACAAAGAAGTATTTCCCATCTCGTTTTATGACGTGTGTATTAACCCGATGCCCAACCAGCGGACACCCAGTGCCGCTTTCCAGGACCAACCAGCGAAGCCCGCACACTCGAGCTCTGGACCCACTTCCGGGACTCTCTAGTTGTCCTGCTGCTTCTCAGTGGTTCTTCCGGCTTCCGCCTCTCTACTTTTGGTGTTCCCGCCTCTGTCCTTCCGCCTCTGTCCTTCCGCCTCCGAGATATGATGAGATCTCGCGAGAACTGGGCCTCTTTCTAAGCCGGCTCTCTTCAAGGTAGGTGGTACGGGGCCTAAGCTCTGCCGCGTTTTTCGGCTGGCTTCGGGGAAAAGGCCCCATGGGGTCTGTCGGGACTGTGGGCCCTTCGCCTCGGCGG